AAAGTTAATAAAAGTTAGGGCACTATTATAATATATAATAATATATTCTTAAAACTAAAACAGTAAAAAAATCTAGTATCATTTTTTCTTTTGACAAATAATTACCGAGATATCGTAAGCTAAATATTGAAAAAGTTACCAAATTTTTCTTGAATATCCTAAAAAATATTAGGTAAAAAGTTTCCATTTAAGAAAAGTGATGATCAATGAATATATAGAAAATAGTGCCATATTTAAACAAAATGATATCGCTGTCTTATGTTCTTCAAACCAAACAATTTTTGCCTGAAACGTTTTTTTTGTATCATTTATATTTTTATTTGAATGGTATTTGAGTGGATAAATTTAAATGAGTCACCCTGTATATATGTGTATTTATTGAAATATGGTCTTAAACTATTGTCTTTTATTCAGTAAGATAATATTTTTTTCCCCAATTAAGTTAATATATATATAGGGTGACGAAAAAATACCGGGATCCCGAAATATATAAAAAATATAATTAATTAATATATCAAAAAATATAATATAATAAACTTTTATCAAAAATATTTCAGACAAAAGTTGTAGGGTTTCAAGTAACGCATTACATAGCAATATCAGTATGACCTTGATTAACATTGTCAAGGTCACATGAAAGTCATCTTAAATTTCTTAAATGAAACTTCCTATTTTTCATTATATATTCTTGTAGTTTATTTCGAGGGCTTTCCAAAACATTATAACTTAATGGTTTTTCGTTAAATATTTTGCAAGTTATTGCAATACAAGATAAGTTCTTGTAGCACTTCCTCAGATCTTTTCAAAACTTACTCACTTTAACTAAGTCATTTCGAAGTTATCGAGCTTTTTATGGTAAGATGTCTAGCTCATAAAGGCGAGGTCGCCAATTGTCCAGTCAATTAAAGCGAGATTGTTCAGTCAGCTAAGGCAAGACTGTCCAGCCAACTAAGGCAAGACTGGAAAGATTTATAGCAATTGTTCAAAATGTCGACCATCAACAGTTTGACAAAAAGCTATCTTATCGTAAAAGGATGAAACGGCATTTTGAATGTAATCAATAGGAATAATAGTTGATCTTCATCAAATTCAATAGTTCAATAGTTCAGCTTCATCAAGAATCCGATTTCGTAAATCATCCAGATTTTGTGGATTCGTTTTATAAATTCTGTCTTTTAAATAGCCTCACAGAAAGTAATCAAGAGGTGACAAATCTGGCGATCGAGGAGGCCATTCTACAGGTTCTCTTCTGCCTATCCATCGCTGAGGAAATACTGTATTCAGATAATTACGGACAGGGGCGCCGACTTGGGAAAAATATTGGGGGGGCAAGAAGTTATAACCTTTTTTTTAGTCCTTACATCACCAGGGGGAGGGGTGAAAGTATTTAGAAAGATGTAGGTTATATAGGATGTTAAAAGTTAACTTATCAATTAGGACATTTTGAATTAAAAGAAAATATCATGCCGTCCTTCTTTCTCTCACTCAACCTTGTACACATTGCTGGGAAATTGAGCCCGCGCATTGACAAGCAGTAACAGCTCAACTCTGAATAGAGTAAGGCATGCGTAATATTGTTTCATTTGTATTATTTGTGGTTGTTAAATAACCAGTAAAGAGGGTAAAATTATTGGTGGGGCATCGCCCCTCCAATAAAATTATTGGGAGGGTCAAAAGTGCTCTGCCCTCCCTAAGTCAGCGCCTATGATTATAGACATCCCTCCCGTAATGTGGCGCAGCACCATCTTGCTGAAACCATGTATTCTTGAAGTCGTCACCCATGATTGCTTGTATCGCTGGAACTATTTCATTTCTTAGCATATTCTCATATTTTATCGCTGTTAAATTGCCTTCAATAAAGAATAGACCCTTTTTTTGTTAACGGGGGAGAAATCCTCATGGATATCCCGCCCCTCTTGGGGGGGAGGCGGGGTTATGCCGGACTCATACCGGCTAAAACCCCCCGGGATGCCTACCAGGCGGGCCGGAGTGGGGGAGTCGGAGGAACTGCGCCGACATTCCCTCCACGACAAAGAATAGACCTATGAGAACGTTATTCAAAATGCTCAAACATTTAATTTTTGTGGATATTACGTATGTGCTTCTTAAATCCAGTTAGGATTTGTATCTGACCAGAATTTACAATTGTGTCGATTAACATAGTCATTTAACTGAAATGTTGCTTCCTCTGAAAAGACTATATTTGACAGATAGTTGGGATCTTCATCTATTCTTTCCATCATCAACTCAGAAAATTCAATACGCCTATCAAAATCATCATAACTTAGCTCTTGCACGAGGTGGACTTTATAAGGATGAAATTGATTAAGTTCTAATATTTTAAGCACAGATTTTTTATCTAGATCATTTTACTATCCTACTTTGCGCGTAGAATCATGCAGGTTTTTTATGAAGGATTGTAAAACATCTAATGATTTTTCTGGATTTGTTGCTGATGCACGTCTACCTGATATTGCACGATTTTTCACACTGCCAGTTTCCTCAAAACGCTTTATTCTTCTCTCAACAATAGATTTTGAAATGGCAGTATCTTGATCACGAAATGTTTCATTAAAAAGCTGTTTTAAGCATTTTTTCATAAAAATTATATTTTTCAATATATTTCAGGGTCCCGGTATTTTTCCTCACCCTTATATATACAGGGTGTTTCATTTTAAATGATATGGTCGATTATCTCGCGAATCGATAATTTTATTGAAATATTTTTTAAACGAAAGTTGCATGGCTTGAAGGGGAGCATATGATGGAAATGTGAACTCGACCTTGAGTAACCTTGTCAAAATCAGGTCAAGATCATTAATGTTTTTTTAAATGGAAACCCCTATTTTTTATTACATATTCTTACAGCTTATCTCGAGAGCTTTCCAAACACTATAATAAAGTTACGTTTCATTGAATACTTTCCGAATTATGAGGCTTGAAAGTTAGGGCAAGACCGATCGCGCACGCACGCACGCGCGCACGCGCACACGCGCACACACTCACCCACACACACAACTATATTATTCCTTTCTAAAAACTAAGGTTTATCTTCTCTCACCTCTAAAAAAATCCTTCACACTTATGAAGAAACTCTTACGGAAAAAAACACTCGAATATTGAGTATTTATACTCAATTGTTCGAATTCACCCTCAAATGTGAGTATATATATTCAAATTGGAGTGTATATATTTATATTTGAGATTAAATTCGAATAATTGAGTGTAGATACTCAATATTTGGGTATTTTTTTCGTAAGGGAAGTGCATATATTATACAATATTCTCCTCGAAATAATACTTCTTTTACACTTCTCGATAAAATTTTCTTTAATTTGAAGCACTTTTTATAACGATGGATTGACTAAATATATCAGAAAAAAATGTCAAAAGCATATTTTGAAAAGAATGTGACTATCGGAAACATCACATTCACTATTATATAAAATCTATGTAAACATAGAATTCACATATCCAAACATAGAATTCATATATCCCCACTTCGATAAAAGTTCTCCTCAAATTCAATGTTTCATTAACGATCATATTTTATTTAGCATGATAACAATTAAATATTCGTTAAATACGCTTCACATAATATATGCAATTGTATGTCAAAATTGGCTAATGTGATACTAGTAATATCATGTTTAGAAAACTTGTTTTTTATCTTTGTATAAATGTATAAATTTATATTGATTCAATGGTCAAAATTCAACATTCATAGTTAATGTACTGTTGTGTCCGAGCCATTAGGTTTGTAGCATCATCCGCGAGTATCTGATATCGATTTTGATATGAACTGAATGATGATTGTCTGGACGACGAAAAATCGATAACAAAAAAACAACAACAGCTGAGAAAGTCGGATAGTGACAGCGGTCGAGGATGGTTATGCGAAGACTAGAGTTCGTGAATTATTTGTAACGTGTTCCAATTTTTAATATTGTAATTAAATAGTAAATAGTTATTTCTAAACGAGTCGAAATTATTTTCGTGAACCCAGCACACGCGAGTCGGTGGCACGTAACAGTATTTTACATTAACTTACATTCGCTATCATATAAAGCTATTTTTATACGATTAATATATGGCTGATCATGAATATCATCAATTTTTATATATGCTTATGTATAATTTTTCAACATTGCGTTATCAAATATTTGATGGACTCTAATTTTTCATAGTTGCATACGTAAGTATAATGTATCATTAAATTGTTATATCCATGAATAATAGTAGATAGAAAAATTGTTTGTTATATTTTGTATGAATTTCGGAACGCATTCATCTCTTTTAGTGAGAGAATTTTTTCTATTAGGTAAGCAAATTCTTTCACTGAACAAAACGAGTACATTTAAAAATTCATAAAAGTGACAAATACCACGATGGTACGTTGCACTACTAACACAATGTGTGATTTGCATTAACTGCAAACATATTCATTTTGCATTCTTGTCGGTAATTTGAGGCATTAGAATTTTTTGTTTGTTAAATGCAATGACTTTAAAAAGAGAATCTTTGTATAAAGTTCTTACCTCCTAAAAATAATTCTACAAATATTAGCACATTATATTATATCCATATAGTAAATATGTATTATCATCATAAAAAAAATATATATATGTGTATGTGTGTGTGTATGTATGCATGTGTGTGTGTGTACTTCTTATTTTTAAATAAGATTCAAGAAACAAAATTTTTTATATCTCAGATTACTTTGACAAGAATGCAAAAGTAATAATTATGATATAATTATGACCACATATAAATGTGTCATTAATATTTATCATGTAGAAATAGAAAATGTTAACTTTCATGAAGTCCTTAAAAGTTAAAATTAATTTGGATTTATAATAATAATTATTTGGATTTTCATCATTGTCCCAAAAATTATTAAATCAATTCTTAGTTATTAATTAATAATTAATTCGTGTATTCTTTTTCCGTGTTAACTTTCAAACTTTTTAAGACAAATTATTTTCCAATTAAGAACTTACTTTCATTAATGCGAATCGCTGATCGTCCGCCAATTTCAATGAGGCTGACATTCTTACTGTTCAGACACCGTCAACAATTTTTTTCTTGAGTCTAATGTTTTTTTTAGTTGTAGCTTAACGATAAACAATTCCTTCGTTTCTGCAGAATTTTCACAATTAAGCAATGAAGCAGTTTCTTTAAGCAGCTGTAAAATTAAAAATATGATACAATTTATACCGTTAATATATCTAATTTTAATATGTTTTAATATTTAAGTAACAATCGCAATATGCAATTTTTAATGCCTTTTTGTTTTATAAATAATGCATGTACCTTCCTGTATACATTAAACTTCAATAAAAGCTTAAAGTTTACTATGTCAAAATTTATTACTAGTCTCTGCAAATGTTTATAAACTATTTAGATATATATATATTGATACATGATAACTATTGATTACTTATCATTGAGAGTTTGATATCATAACGCATTACATTATATATTATATCCAAATGAGACGAAGAAGCAATTAGGACGCTTAAATAGTTGTAATTAACAAGTACGACTAAGTTATAATAATTTAATGAATAATAATTTATTGAATAATAATTTATTGAAATTTAATGTACGTCTCATATCCATTTGCTTTTGCAAAATAATTAGATTATTTTCATCGATAGAATATATAATATATACAAGTGTATTAGATAACATGATAATACTGGATAAATTTATCGATCATGATCAAAGATCAAGGAAAATTGATGTCTCGAGTATCTTCCTTTTTACATTATATCTGTATATTAATTATTTTCTATCCACTTTATTTTTCAACGAACGTCAGTAAGATCGACATTGAAACTGAAAGGAAATTATATACGCTTCTTTTTATACATATTACATTAACTTTATTTAACTATATTGTTTAACTATATTTTAATTATTTAAATATACTAGATAGTGGTGTCGTCCCACAGAATATATACTAAGAAGAATTATTATGTAGGGTAATGTTCAATCTACCATTTATATCGTTTATACTGTTTCTGATTTAATTAACTGTATATTTTATGTTTCAAAACTATGATCGCGATAAATTATAATATCATAATCCGTGGCTATCCTAGAATTATAAGCTGATTATAAAATTCATGAACATTACGAAACCGCATATTACTAAACCATAACTAAATTTTATTAACTCGGTGCTATTTGTTTTTTATATTTGCATTTTACACAAAGCATAATATATGAATAACAAAAAGAAAAGAAACGAAAGAACTATTTTTTACGATATCGTATATATAGATATAATAAATGTTGATTCAATGTAACTGTACGAGTCAATTACCATTGAGTCATCATTACCGCTACAATTTTCAATGTCACACATATTTTCTCTATGTTAAAAAAATTTTAAAAATATTATGTTATAAGACATTTTAAAAATATTCAAAATTTTTAAACGTTCTTATCAAACAAAATGTTATTTCGTATTTTAATTGTTAGAATTTCAATTTTTGATTGTTGCAAAATATTAAACATTTTATCATTTCTATTCTAACATTTCAGATATCTTTTTCTCAAATATTCTTTGAACATGTCCATTTCTTTCGAATGTCTTTCGTATAGTTTTATTATTCGTATTGCCATTCACTGTATGTGCATTCTTAGCGATTACTGTGTTCGAAGCATGATATAAGAAAAAACAGTTAACGTGAAACTTAAAATAATTAAAAGAACGTACTAAATAAAGAATTACCTTAGAATATCGTAATCTTGAAATCGCTTCACATCAATCTTATAATTCATTTGACAAATGATCCATACCGAACGGAGCTATTTGAGATTGATTCACGATCGCAATCCGGCGTCGACTACACACTGGTGCAACAGGTGGCCGCATTCACCCGAGCCCATCACAACTGCGCGTTCTCTACGAAGGTGAGATAGACGTATTGTCGCGGGGTAAGCGGTATGAGAGGAGTGGTACTATCGTTCTCTTGGCAGGGGCCAAGTTCTACCAATCACTAAACTCCACCATCGCTATTTCCAACACTGTCCAATGTAGTTGTCGTCATCATCTCGATTTCTACTTGTAGACCCAATGTTTCTGACTTTCGTATGAGTACAGACGCTAGTATATTTCGACATTACTATGCGAATATTACTACTTGTACAGTTTGTCATGAAATTTATTCTACAGCGCAAATATACCTGCTTTGACTACAATATAGAACTGTAATATCAGAGCTCAATAAGTGGCACTCCGTAAGTAGCTGCTCCGTTTCCTTTCACAAAAAGAACGCATACTTATCGTCACTATTTCTTTGTTGAAATTTCAATAAAATAGATACATAACCTTAATGTTTCCCCTTTAAGTCATATGAAAACATTTTACTTTTATCTTCCTTCGTTTTATTGATATTTTTCCTGTTTAATATTGCTTTACGCACACTCATGCATGCACGTGTATGTGTGCGCGCGCGCGCGTGTGTGAAAAGTAAAGTAATAATAAAACTTAATTTATATAACAAAGTTTATTGTTTACATGTATAATATAAACATGTAGTGTAATAATCATATTATTGGAATTAACTTCTAATATTAGTAGAGTAAAAAAGTAAGAAAAAGAGAATAAAATAGACGGCAGGGAGAGAGGATATCAGAAAGAAAAGAAATTAATGTCAATTCTTTTCAAATTATTCTACATTAAGAAAAGAATTAGTAACTTCGAAATATTTTATTTATTTTAAGAAAATACATTTTTTCGCGAATATGTTCAAAACATTTGAACATATATTAATTAGATGTACAAATTAATTCGGTGCTTTTATATTTAATCAATTATAACTCTGTTACAAATTTAAATATTTTTCTTTTTCTGTTTTAAGATTTTAAAGTCCTAACATTAATATTAAAAAATATTATATTAAATCTTTAAGTTCTGCGAATTTTATGTTTAAAAATATTAATTCAAATAAAATTACAACAAATTTTTAATCCAAATAATTGCCGCTAACTTTTACGATCTTCTGTCATTTTTCTAACAAGAGTTAAATGACAATAGAATGATGACTCTTAGAATAAAAGAATAAAAGAAGTTATCTCCTAGAATAAAAGAAGTTATCAATGATTGTTCATTTTATCAGCATTCTGGAAGCACTATCCTTTAAGGCTATGTTGCATGGAACGAAACAAGTGATAGTTCCAAGGCATTGCATCTGGAAAGTAAGCAGAATGAGGAAGGACCAATTTAGATCTAATATGGTATTGAGTAGCGATCTAATGTTATCATGTTGCAAAACAATTGATTGTTTTGCAACATGATAACGTTTTGATACTATTAATGGATGTTTTTTCGCTAATTCTTCCTTTAATTTGAGTAATTGTTGGTTGCCTTTATAATATTCGATAAATAGATACAACATTGCTGAAACAAGTTTCTACATTCTAAAACTGTATAAAAACGATATATTACAAAATATATTATAAAGAAATTATAGAAATTGAATATTGATAAGTTGGTGATTAATCACTTATTTTTTATATTAAATGTACTGTTGTTAGTAATCCTTGGTGATTCAATTCCTAAACTCGTGAATAACACAGGTATTTCAGTGTTTAAGGTGATAATAAAGACTATTACAAAAAAATATTACTGTTATTCACAAACTTGATTACTAATCAGTAATGCTTCTAAGTACTTAACGGTTATTAAAATAAGAGTTAATATTTCAGAGTAATTTAATAATATTTCACATTAATGATTAGTATGTAGAAACAATTAGTATGTAGAAATAATGATAGTACAACGATTTGTTATATTTCCTTACAATATATTTTGTAGTATATCGTTTTTTATACAGTTTTAGAATGTAGAAACTTGTGTCAGCAATGTTGTATCTATTTATCGAATATTATAAGTAATATTCTGAATTCAAATATTTGCAAAACAATGTAAATTTTTGATAAAAAAAAGCATAAATTTTTTCGTCATTATTATGAACTGTTTTGTATTGTTTCTTTTCAATCTAACTTACTGTTTGTATTAATATTTGCTATAATATAAACTCTGACTAAAAATTTTAATGCTAGAGGTTATACTGATTTGTTATTGTTCATTATATCAATAAGGTAGATGATACCGGTTCTAAGTTGATTATTGTATTATTTTCAACATATGCTATTATTATACTTTTTAAATATATATATATATATATAAGAACATTTACGTTTATATTAAAACGATATACTTTTTTTATTATTTAGACAAAAACATCAAACATTGATTCACTTTATTTTATTTGTTTCTATCTAATTTAATACAAGCTATATCTTGCAATAATAACATAATATATTCAAAATAATTTATAATTAAGCATTTCCTCTTGTCTGATCTAAATATTACAAAATAGATCAATTACTGATTTTAAAAACTCTATTCTCAGAAATATCTTTCACGATTTTTCTCCTGTATCTATTTTTTTCTAATGCAATTGAAGAATACTCTATTTTGATCTTTATGAAATGCTTGATATAATAAATGTGCTACCAAAGAAAAACTTTGTTTATTGTACTATTTAATAAAATTTCTCAATTGTAGATACCACAAAAGAATTTTGTTTGTCTTCTCATTCTTACAGATGATGGTATTTTCTCAAGTTCTTTATTTGCTTCATCTACTTTTCTCTTCAATTCTTTTATAGTGTTGTAATCACCTATAAGCATTATTAAGTCATCTGTTCAAATATCTACTTCATCTATTATACTTTTCTGCGACCATCATCCACTGCATTTGTATTGTCTGTAAGAAGTTGTTTTGATGAAGATATTGGAGGAATCTCAATAAGAACATCATTAGTGAATTGTGCGGTATTTCCATCATGAATTTATAAATTTATAACTTAAAAATCACTTTACAATAACACTTAAAAATTGCAGTTAAAATCAATACATATATGTGCATTTCTTTCTACAGTTATAGCGTTTTTCATTGGGAAAATGAGTGCCCACTCAATGCGCACTAGTCGTGGACGATGTGTTTCATTGGGAATTTCAGTGCACATTAAAATCATGCGTCGTGTTTTATTGGAAAATGTAGTGTCGAGGTTTTGCATTTTCGTGCACAAATTCGGCACGAGCTCGAAGAGATGGTGTCGGTTGAGTGCAAAACATGGCGGCGCAGAACAGAGATATTTTAAATGAACAAACGTATGTGATAATTTCGGATTTCCTTTCATTTTCATCCAGCAGTGATGAAGATGAGTATTTTCTTCGAAATCCGAGGCGAATTGTTCCTAAAATGAAAAACTTTTTGCAAATAGCACATCAATATTCCGATCACGACGTAAGTTTATTGTTATAATTTAGCTTGTGAAAATAAAAGTAGAAAGTAATTTTTATTTTTGTTGTAGTTCAAATCCCATTTTCGAGTTTCGAGGGCAACAGCATATGATATTATAAATAATTTTGAAAATTCGACGTTCTATTCTGATGATACAAGCCACGAAGGTATTAAACCGTCCTCTGCTGAATCACACGTTTTATCTTTTTTGTGGTAAGTTTTACATATACATGTATAGTTTTTAATTCATCCACCACTCATATTATATATATATATATATAATATTAAAAAGATTTCAAAAAATATTACTTTGTATAGGTTTGCAGGAAATAAAGTGTGCTTAAGAGATGTTGCACAAAGATTTGGAATATGCGCTACAACGATTTTTCGACAAAATAAAAGAATGATGGATTTTCTATGCGATATAGCTGGAAACGTCATCAAATTTTCTGACAAAGAAAATACTGCAAACGAATTCCTTCAAGTATGTATATTTAATTAATGTATTTTAATGAAGCTAAAGCTAGCAGCCGATTCATAGCTGAATTATGAAAGCAGTAGTTTTTAATTATTATTTAATAAATGTCAATTTCTTGTTAATTAATTATTTAATGCTAAACATTTTTCTATTATTCTTTAGTTCTAAACAGTGCTTATGCGAATTTGCTACTAGTTTCAGCTTTATTGTATTTTATGTATGTTTTTCTAATGAGTTATTTAATGAATATGTATATAAAATTGAAGATTGCAGGATTTCCGAAAGTTCTTGGCTGCATTGATGGGACTTTCATTAAAGTCCGAACGCCAGCCCACAAAATAAAATCGACATATGTAAATAGACATGACATCCCTTCGATAACATTGCAGGGCATATGTGATGCTCGAAAGAGATTTATAGATACATTTACAGGAATCCCGTCGAAAATTCACGATGCGCGCGTACTCAAATTATCAGATATATGCGACGAGTTGCCAGGAATATGTGAAGCCGGAAAATATCACATCCTAGGCGATGGAGCGTATCCAATAAGAGAATGGCTTATTATACCATTTAAAGACTACGGAAATCTGTCTGCAAAGGATAAACAATTTAATAAAATGCTATCTGCGACTCGAGTATTGATCGAGAATGCGTTTGGACTGTTGAAAGGTCGTTTTCGACAATTAATCGAAGTAGATCTACATACTGTTGATAAAATATCAAAATTTATTACATCATGTTGCGTTTTGCATAACTTATGCATAGACAACAACGATAACTTTGATGTCGATATTGTTATAGAAAACAATGAAGATTATAATAATGAAGGCAGAGGTCAACAAGAAGCTCTATTACGAAGATTAGGGGAAGTAAAAAGAAACCAATTGATGAATGTACTTTTTCCATGAAATAAAAATCAATACAATATGAAATTATCAAACGTTTATTTGTCCTGTGGCAAATAAGTACATACTTTCCAATAAAAAACAAAACGTATAAAAACAAAGCATATTTTTTTTATAACACGTACATATTGATTATTTTTTCAAAATTCATATATTATATCTCTTATTTATTTCATAAACATGTAATTTTTTAACATACACGCTTTTTCAAAAAGTTTGATTGTAAAATTAAATAACACTGTTTTAAAATTAAATAACACAATAAGTTTACTTTATACTGGTTCATACTTAATAGTCTGAGCAGTACTATATCTTTTGTAAAGAAAAATATGCATACGCTAATATTAAAAATCAGTAATATTAAAAACAAAGACATACAATTAGTAAACGTACAAAATTATAAGAAAAAAAAAAATAATTAAAATTATATATCACATCCAACGTTTTAGTTAGGAACTTTCATATTAACATATGGTTCAGGCTGATTTTACATTAGTCTTTCTTTGGTTTTTTTTAATACTTGCTTGTTTCTG